GGGGCAGGGCGAGCTCGGGGGCCTGGTCTCACTTCGCAGCTCACTGTCATGGGACTGGCCGGTGTGCTTCTGCCGCTGAAATCTGCCATATTGCCAGTGATGAAACACTTCACAGTTTTCCACGAAGAGCTGGAGTTGTGTTTTCTCCACTGCGACGTTTGTTTGCTGTTTTTCCCTCCCCACCCCGGTGTCCTGCCCCCTGGGCGTGAATACACGTGTCTCCATGCACAGTGTGGATGAGAGCATCCAGGGAGGAGGCACTGAAGCAAGGAGGAAGGGGCCACACAGCCCCAGTCCGCAGCTCCTCTCCTGCCTCGTAGGACATCCCTGTCCCCAGTTAGCTGCTGGCTCGCAATAGAAATTGCCTATGGCATAGGTTACCTAGCTTTTCAAGCCTCTCGAAAATCCAGTTATTTATAAGCAATTTGTCATTCTATGGGATTATTCATCTACTTTTTAAAAAGTAGTAGACTGTGCCAACTATTTTAGTAGTATGGGGTACTGGGCATGTCTAAGAGTGATAAACATTATTAGAATTTAAACAAAAACTTAGGTCTTTATCTGTATTTGGCCAAAATACTACTATTTGGTCCACGCGTGCCTTTTAATTGCCAGACGATAGCAGCTTTCGTTGCTGCCTAGTCCCTGAGCAACACCTGAGAGAGCAAGAGCATGTCCCTGGTGCTGGCCTCGTGTCCCGTGCTCTGGCCCTCACTGCAGAGCTGGCCTGGAGGCAGCACTGAGCGCAGCTCTGCAGTTGCCAGGGGCGTGGCCTCAGCCTACCCTGCCCTCGTTCCACAGAGTAAGACTGTGGTGTTAGGAGGAAAACTCTGAAGCCAGGTCCAGGAACGGCATGGCCACGGGCAGCACAGCAGCGCGTGGGGGACGTGCCCAGCGTGTGTCCACACAGACCGTGGCCGCCGTGTCTGCACGTGCTGCCTCACACAGACACCTGTCTCTGCCTCCGGTGCCCCTGAGCACCTGTTCTGTGCCAGCCGAATCTCCGCAGGATGAGCTGGGATTTGGCTGACAAACTGGAAAAATATCTCAGATGAGCAAAAGCAGAGCCTTCTGGCAGCCGCTCGATCCAGGGTTGGCTCTCCTCTCAGGACTCTAACCCCAGGGGCTGTGGGTCACCGCAGTTCCCCTGTCACTGCGGGGCCCCTCCTGTGCCCTGTCGTGGTTCATGCTTGCTCCTCTCTGCCCAGCTGGCCTGCTCACCACCGACCCACGCGTGCGGGAGCGGAAGAAGCCCGGCCAGGAGGGTGCCCGCCGGAAGTTCACCTGGAAGAAGCGCTGAGCATCGTCGCCTGCCCCACTGCCTAGGCTGCAGGCCAGGCCTAGGCAGCGCCACTGCTCTCAGACGCTTTGGGGCTTTATTCTAAATGTGCTTTCATAAAAAATACCATTGAAACATTAAAGTAAAAGTGTTTTCCTTCCGCTCCTTTAAATATTTTCAAGCATAGTTACAGAAGAAGCATTCCTAAAATCTTGGCATATTAGGTATAAAAGGCGCTTTGAGCAAGACACATGGCCGTGGCCTGACCGCCTTTTGCAGATGAGAAGCAGGCTGAGTCAGGCCGTGCGCTGCTCCACAGCCCAGCCGCCCGTGGTGAGCTCCTCTGTCCCATCCAGGTTCCGCCATCAGGCTGGGATCCATGCTTCTGCTGTACATGGAAAGCCATGTGAGGTGTGTGACAGGAGGGCAGCAGAGCCGCAGCAACGCCACCATGTGGCCTGGGTCGCCTACTGTGGCGGCAGGAGCAAGAGGCCAAGCCACAGGGCTTTTTGCTGTGCGTGTGTGAAGGCACTTACCTAGTTCCTTTTCTTGTTGCTGGGACAAAATACTTAACACTGAAAGTTAAGGGAGGAAAGGTTTATTTAGGGCCCAGTTTGTAGAGGTTTCGGTCCATATCGGCTGGCTCCAGGGCAGGGTGGAACATGGCAGAAGGCAGCTCAGCAGGAGCAAGAGGGAGAGAGGAGAGACTGTCTTACATCTTGCCCACGCCACTTGCCCTGGGGCAGTTGTAGCACACCCTTAACCTTAGCCTGCACAAAGCCAGGCCCATCAGTCTGCCCTTAGCCTGCAGGAGCCCTGGGGTCCAGCCCAGCCCCCTCCAAGACAACGCAGCCGTGGAAGAACACCTTCCACTCCAGCCTTGCTGAGAGGCAGAGCCTGGGACCGAGCCCTTGCCCACCGTCGCCCAGGGTAGCCCCCCGCATGCTGCAGCCTGAGGTTCTGCACAGAGCTGGTGCCTTGGCCCGCGTGTCACAATGCCAGCAAGACGCCCAGTAATGGGGTGGCCACCTTCAGTATGGTCAAGAAGCCAGAGGAGAGGCAGCATTGAGGCCCAGTCTGCCTAGATGCTACAACACCAAGTGGTTAGCGTTATTGCACACCTAGGCCGCCTTTCGTGTGCCCACCCCCCGGGGCAAGCAGGACCTTAGTACTGTGAGGATGTGACCCCCATGACTTCTATCAGAAGGGCTTCTGGGCAGGGTAGAGGGACCTGCTGTAAGCTGTGGGGATGCATCGTGCGCGGTGATCGCCCCAGCCCTCGTGTTCCCACTGTCACCACAACATGGTCCCCTTTTTATTCTCCTCGTGTTCTTGTTTGAGCAGGTACATGGAGGTGCCCGAAGTGCAGGCCCTGCCTGGAGCTCTGCAGCTTCTGGGCATGGGTCCAGACATCACCCCAGGACCCTGAGGTGGCCTTACCAGGAAGATGAACCCGGCCTGCGTGTGGCACACAGCCAAATGGGTAGTGTGGGCCAGTGTGGGCAGCTGACATGGACAGGGCAAAGTGACTGGCGTGTGGGAGGGCCGAGGCACAGGGGCATCTGCATGTCCAGTGAAGGTGCTGGCTGTTGTGAGCTGCTGACCTGGGGACTGTATATGGCCAATGAGTGCACACGTGAACCTGGCCGGCGGACCCCTGTGAGCTTGGTGACCCATCTGTGTGGTACATGGGACCCCTCGGCCCACTACTGAGTTCAGCAGAGCACACAGTTGTCCATGAGTTTAGGAGTGAAGGGGAGAGGACATTAAAAAAATGGAGATGTGTCCTATCAGTGTGCCAGCTCCCAGGAGGGAAGTGCTCAAGGTGCACAAGAAGCATGGACTCATACAAATAAAAGCTTGAGAAAGAGATGGCCAAGTTCTGTGACCCGTGGGCCTCATGCTGGAGCTCTGGGTCTTTGTGACACGTGGGCCAGGCTGCTCCAGGAGCCTCAAGACACCGAGGACATGCACCCTCTAGCCCTCTGGGAAGATTGGAAGCTCCAGTCTGCCTGAGCAACTGAGCAGGAATCTACCCCAAACTTTCCTGTTTCAAGGCATGGGGCTGTGGGTGCAGCCCAGCCTGGAGGCCCTGGGCTCAATCTCCACTAACGCCTCTCAAAAAAAATCCCATTGGCAATACACCCATCACTAGAAGTTGAAAGTCATTGTTGAACACCAAGCTACAAAAACTACCGACTCTCATTGCTGTGAGCAAAACCCTACCAACATGTTTCACTGGTCGTTAACCTTGAGTGTCAGCTGGAGTGGCTTCCAGAGCACGTGGGAGTAGAGTGTGGCGAGCCTAGGTGGGTCCCCGAGGCGGGCCTCGGGGCTGGTCCTGCCCCTCCTCCGTCCTGGTGCTGCTCCTGTGCGCTTCCTCTGTGAGCGAGCAGCCTTGCTCCACCACGACGGTCCTGCTGCATCAGCAAGCCGAGGCTTGAAACTAGGAGCCCAGACAGACCTCCTTTAAGTTGTGCACATCAGGTTTGTGTCCCATCACAGGAAAGATGAACTAGTGCATTGTCATTTCACAGGAAGTATAATGATTACTGAGGCTCAAAATGTCAAAAAAAAAAAAATTAGAGAATTTAAGTCTTCCTTCAACACAGGCCAGTCTTCAATTATTGCCTTTTTTTTTTTTTTGTGGCTGTACCGGGGATTGAACTCAGGACGCTGTGCTTGCCAAGCAAGCGCTTATTCTACTGAGCTATCTCCCCGGCCTCCAGTCTTCAACTAAATAATTAATGTGATATAGCCAACAATGGAGGACCCATTGCCAGACTTGAAGTCTTCTTTAGCGCTTATGGCTGCAGGAAACTTAACCCTATGGCTCCTGTGCACAAAAGCCTGTGCCGGCCAGGGTCCTGCTGCTGGCCCTCCCAGGGCTGGCCAGGCCCCCTGGTGAGTTAGGACTCGTGTGGCATCACCTGTCCCTGCCCAACAGGCACCTACTCTTCAGCGCCCCTGCCGGGGTCACCCCAGGCTCTGTCTTGACAGGGCACATGCCTACACCCCAGGTCCCTGGGGCCCTCGAGGCTCCCGGGCCTGCCCTGCTGCCTGTGTGTGCCCTGCTCTGTTGGCCTCTTCAGACGTGGCCAGCAGCAGCACCTGCTCTTCTAAGTGAGGCCTCCACCTCCACCTCCTGTTGCTGTGGTGGTAGAACAGCGAGCCGGAATGTAGCTTCTCTGTCACTGTCTTCTGATTGATTTTTCATCCATTGGGCGTCGCCTTGCCACAGCGAGCAACATCAGCTAAACGGGTCCTTCTAGGAGCTGCTTTTAAAAGGAAGAGAGAAGCCCCTTTATTAGCATGGCACCGAACCAGGCCTGTTTTTGCTGCCTGCGTGGCGTAGCAGTCACTGGGATCACACACCAAGCCACGCAGCCAGGTGTGGAGGTGAAAGAGCAGGGCTCAGCTCTGCGTCCTTGAGGACGGCTTGGGGTGCTTGCAGGGACAGGAGGTGGGGATTTATGACCTGGCGCTGAAGCAGTGGTCTGCACAGGGAAGGTCCAGCTTGCTGGTTTTTCTGAGAAACCTGTTCTGAAGATAGCAGTGTGCACTTGGCAGGAGGAGATTTGGGCCCATGAGGTCACTGCTGGACACCTGGGTGGACCCAGGAAGAATCGATGCTCTCGGCAGAGTGGCTTCCACATCCCTGAAAAGAATCCTCAGCGCCATCACCATGGCCGAGCTTGCGGGAGGCAGTGACACTGCCTGGTGCTGTGACCGCCCAAGGGGGAGGTCTCGGAGTAGGAGGCATTCAGGACTGCTGGGTCCTGGGAGCCAGCCCCTGGCCTGTCTGCGTTGGGTTCCGTCCTCCCGCGTGTCTCAGAGACAGTGCTCCTCCTTCAGTGGCCACCTTTGGAGGCCTGTTCTCGGGCTCCCGAGACACATGTTGGCTGTGAAGGATGCACGGCTGTGGGAGCAGGAGCCCCGAAGCGTGAGAAGCCCACAAGGCGCAGCTCTGGAGCTGCTTCTCATTCTGCAGTGCTCCTCCAGCTGTCACGGGCTGGGACCACTTCAGATTTTGTGATAACTGCAGGAGAATGTGAGGTTTATTCCCTTCTCATTTTCTGCACACCTGATTGTATTTCTCCTGAGGAAGACTGAAAGCTCTCCAGGGAGCCAGCCCCCCAGGGTGAGGTCTTCTGTGCAGGTCAGGAGTGGGATTCACCCCATCTCCATCTCTGCCTCAAGCCTCACCCCCAAACCTCCTAAACCAACCATGCATCATTACTTGGGGCTCAGCCGTTCCCTGGCAGCACCCCAGCACCAGCTGAATTCCTGGCTTGTAAGTTCCCAACGTGGCTTCTTGTAGTGAGGGAGGAAACAGCAGGGAGTAGTTTTCCATCACTAGAGTACAGGAATCCAGCAGCAGGGCCATCTCAGTTGTAGGTCACAGTAGCCCAGCTCCTGTCAGCCCGAAGAGGGTGTCAGAGAGGCTCTGGGCCCAGCATCCCTCAGGAGGGCTGAGCCTGTCTGCAGGGAGTGGGGAGGGGATGCCTTGCCAGGCCCGCCTCAGCCTGACTGCAGGCTGCACGAAGAGCTGTGCACCCCACCCTGGCGTTTCTGGGTTGTCTTGTGGTACAAGCTGTCACTTCAGGCTTGCAGGACGTGGCCTGAATCCTACCTGAGCCAGCGTCTGGGTGTCCGGACCAGCCTGTCTCCAGCCACCCAGGCTTGAGCCCCAGGTAACCCACTGCATGCCAGCCTCTCGCTCCCAGGCTGGAGCCCACATTCCGCACTTGCACATACACACCTGTCTTCTGTGCCTTGGGAGGGCCCTCTGGCGCACTGCCTCCACATTCCTCCTGCTGGCCTAGAGCCCAGCCAACGCAGGGGACACGCTCCCCTGAGAAGGCTTGGATGTGAGCATTTGCCTGATGCGTGGAAGAACTCACTCTGTACACGGTGCTCCCCATCAAGAGGATTGAACTGGCCTAGAGTGTCGTGTTTCGGCAAAGATTAAAACTAAGTGAACCATGGTCAGTGTGAGGACACGAGGCAACAGATCTTGTACAAAACACTTAGCAACGTTCTCTGCCCACACACATGCAGCTCACGCTGGCTTCTCGTAGCCATGCTCTCTGGCTGCAGGGAGCCAGGCAGGGCGCTCATCGTCCGAGGTCAGTGCGTGGAAAGGAGCCCAGAGGATCAC